CAGCCACTGCACTCCAGTCTGGGCAACAGAGTGAGATTCCAACTCAAAAAAGAAAAAAGGGCACAGGACATTTTTTTTTAACTTAACCTGCCTTATCCAAATCCTGTAGAATACTTCTATTTTTCATCAGGTCAAGTAGACCTGATTGGAATGATCAAAATAATTGATATTGTCATAGTTAAGATTTACAAAGGTGCTACTTTGTGCCAGGCATTTTTCTAGATAGGTTTGTTGCTGTTGTTGTTGTTCTTACCCTATTATACTCAAATCTAAAATCTCCAGAACAATGTTGACTAGAAAAGCAGACAACTTTGATTGTTCCTGAACTTAGAGAAAAAGCATTTACTCTTTCCCCCATTAAAGTATGATGCTAGCTAAGGATTTTCCACAGATACCCTTTTTCAAGTTGAGGAAATTCTTATCTATTCCTAGTGTGTTGAGTGCTTTGATGATGAAAGAGTGTTTGATTTTTGTCAAGTGCTGTTCTGAATCTATTCAGATAATCATATAATTTTTATCCTTTATTCTATTAATATATGTATTACTGTGACTGCTTATTGGATGTTAAACCAGCCCTGCATTCCTGAGATAATTACTACTTGGTCATGGTGTAAAATCCCTTTTTTTTTAACTTTTTATAGAGACAAGGTCTCACCATGTGGTGCAGGCTGGTCTCAAACTCCTGGCCTCAAGCAATCCTCCCACTTCAGCCTCCCAAAGCACTGAGATTACAGGTATGAGCCACCATGAAGGACCACCAGAAGCTGGAAGAGGCAAAGAAGGATTCTCTCCTAGAGGCTTCAGAGGGATTGTGGCCCTGCCAATGCCCTTATTTTGGACTTCTGGCCCCCACAACTGTGAGAGAATAAATTTTTGTTATTTCAAGTCATCAAATTCATGGTAATTTGTTATAGCTGTCCCAGGAAGCTAATACATTACTCCCAGTAATTTATAAAATAATGAGACAGGAGATCAAAAAGAAAATAAAATTCTTGAACAACCCAATAACTAAGTATATCTAACAGATATCTATAGAATACTCCACTCAACTCCATGCCCAGCTTGTGTAATCCTGTTTATATGTTGCAGGATTCAGTCTGCTAATATTTTGAGGATTTTTACAATAGTATTTGGAAGGGATTTTCCTCTGCAGTTTTATTTTCTTCCAATGTCTTTTTCAGGTTTTGGTATCAAGGTGATGCTGGCCTCGTAGAATGGTTTGGGAAGTGTCCCTTCTTTTCTATTTTTGATTCTGTGGAGAATTGGCATCGATTCTTCTTTAAATGTCTGATGGAACGCAGTGAAGCCATTTGGGCTTGGGCTTTTCTTTATTGGAAGTTTTCAAATTATTAATTAAATCTCTTTACTTGTTGTAAGTCTACTCAGATTATCTAGTTCCTCTTGAGATAGTTTTGGTAGTGTCATTCTAAGAATGTGTCCATTTTATCTAGATTATCTAATTTGTTGTCAGAGTTGTTTGTAGTTCCTTTATATTTTTGTAAAGGATATTAATGTACCATCTTTCATCCCTGATAATATTGAGTTTTCTCTCTTTATTTATTGACCAGTCTAGTAAACTTGCCAATTTTGTTGATCTTTTCAAAGAATCACTTTTGTGTTTTATTGATTTTCTCTAATTTTTTATTCTGTTTTACTTGCTTCCACGCTCATCTTTATTATGTTCTTCTTTCTGCTAGATTTAAGTTTAGTTTGAGCTTCTCTTTTCTTTTTTTCTTTTTTCTTTTTTTTTTTTTTGAGCTGGAGTCTCATTCTGTCACCCAGACTGGAGTGCAGTGGCCGTTCCCGGCCACCACAGCCTCGAGCTGCTGGGCTCCGGCGATCCTTCCGCCTCAGCCTTCCAAGTAGCTGGGACTACAGGCGTGCGCTACCACACCCAGCTAATTTTTTGATTTATTGTAGAGATGAGGTTTCACCAAGTTGCCCAGGCGGGTCTCGAACCCATGGGCTCAGGCAATCCACTCACCTCAGCCTCCCAAGGTGCAGGATTACAGGCTGAGTCTCCGAGCCCAGCTGATCTTCTCTTTTCTTAAGGTGGAAGATTAAGATTTGTATGCATTTTTGAAATAGGCACTTACGGCTACAAATTTTCCTCTAAGCACTAAAATAGTTGCACTCTGCAAGTTTTTTATGTTGTATTTTCATTTTCACTTATTTCAAAGTATTCTCTAATTTCCCTTGTGATTTCCTTCTTGACCTATTCTTTAGGAGAGTCTTATTTAATTTCTACAAATGTTCTTCTACTGTGGATTTCTAATTTCATTCCATTGTGGTCTGAAAAAATAATTTGTATGATTTCAATATTTTGAATCATATTGAGGCTTCCCTCAATACCTAATATATGGTCTATCCTGGAGACGATTTCTTGTGTGCTTGAGAATAGTGTGTATTTTGCTGTTGTTGAGTGGAGTATTCTATAGATGTCTGTTAGATCTACTTAGTAATTGACTTGTTCAAGTATTCTATTTTCTCTGATCTCCTGTTTCATTATTCTATCAATTACTGAGAGTAGTGTTGTATTAGTTTCCTGGGACAGCTATAACAAATTTGATGGTTTGAAATAACAAAAATTTATTCTCTCACAGTTGTGGAGGCCAGAAGTCCAAAATCAGGGCATTGGCAGGGCCACAATCCCTCTGAAGCCTCTAGGAGAGAATCCTTCTTTGCCTCTTCCGGTTTCTGGTGGTTCTAAACAACCATTCCTCAACTAGGGTCTGCATAACTCCAGTATCTTCCTCTGTCGTCCTATGGCCTACATCCCTGTGCTTCTGTATTGGAAATACCCTTCTCCTTATAACAGTTATAAGAACAAGAGTTATGGAAATTAAGACCCGTCCTAAATTCAAGATGATCTCAAAGCAAGATCCTTAATTCAGTTACATCTGCAAAAACCCTATCTCTAAATAAGGCCATAATTACAGGTACCAGGGATTAGGACTTGGACACATCATTTGGGGGGCACAGTTTCACTACAGAGGAATTGAAGACTTCAATTATTATTGTTGAATATCTATTTCTCTCTTCAATCTGTCCAGTTTTGTTTCATGTAGTAAGGACTCTGTTGTTTAGTACATATATGTTTATAGTCCATATATTGGATTGACCTTCTTATTATCATAAAATATTCTTATTTGTCTTTAGTAATAAATTGTGTATTAAAGCCTATTTTGTCTGATATTAATATATCCACTTCAGTTCCCATTTGTTTCCTGCTTCTATCTTTTTGCTTTCAACCTATTTGTGTCTTGGAATCTAAAATGTGTCTCATGTAAAAAGCATATAACTTTTTGTCCATACCATCATTCTCTAACTTTTGATTATGGTGTTTAACAAATTTACATCTGCTGTAACAGTTGATAAGGTAGAATTTATATCCTCCATATTATTATTTCTTCCTATATATCTTATATTCTTTTTATTACCGTTTCTCATTTTCTGTTCATCTTTGTGTTAAATGGATATTCTCAAGTATACTTTTTAAATTCTTTGTTGTTTATTTACTTGCAATTATAATATTAACTTAAAACAATCTAGTTTGAATTAACACTAACTTAATTTCCACACAAAAGTACTACACAAAACTTTCTTCCTATATTCCTCTATTTCCTTCCTTCTCCTTGTTGTTATAATTTTTATAAAAATTCTATCTGTACACCTTATAATCACAATTTTATAAGTATTGCTTTGTACAGTTGTCTTTTTAAAATAGAAGAAATGAGTAACAAGCAAAAATATATTTATTCTGTATTTCATAATTCAGATGCAACTACTTTTACTGGTACTCTTTACTTCTTTGTGTGGATTCACATTACCAAATAGTAGCCTTTCATTTCACCCTGAAAGACTCTATCTAGTATTTTTTGTAGTGCAGTATACTAGCAAAAAAATTTTATTTGTATTTACCTTGAAATATCTTAATTTCTTTAGTTTGACAGTTCCTCAAAAAGTTAAACATATAACTACCATATGACCCATCAAATTCACTCCTAAGTATATACTCAAAACACATGAAAACAGATGTCCACATAAAAATTAGTTACATAAATGGTCATAACACATTATTTTAAATCGTTCAAAATTGGAAACAATCTAAATGTCTATCACTGATGAATGTACAAACAAAATATGGAATATTCACATGATAGGATAGTATTTAACCATAAAAATAATTATAAAAGAGTAGCCTTTTTTTAATGCTGCAATATGAATGAACCTGGAAAACATTATGCTAAGTGAAAGAATCCAGTCATACAAGAACATGTGCAGTATGCTTGCATTTATGTGAAAAGTCCAAACCAGTCAAATCCATAGGGACAGAAAGAAGATTCATAGTGACCTGGGGCTGTAGTGGTGAGTGAGGGTGGAATATATGGAAGCAGGAATGAGGAGTGACTGCTAATGTGTACATGGTTTCTTTTTGAACAGCTGGAAATATTCTAAAGTTAGATTATTATAATAGTTGTGCAACTCTATAATTCTAAAAATCACTGAACTGTGCACTTTTTTTTTTTTTTTTTTGAGTTGGAGTCTCACTCTGTCGCCCAGACTGGAGTGCAGCAATCCACTCACCTCAGCCTCCCAAAGGCGCGGGATTACAGGCTGAGCCACCGAGCCCGGCATGTGCACTTTAAATGAGTGAATTTTATGATACATGAAATAAATCTAAATAGAGTCAGAAAAGTACATTTAAACCCAGCTGATGAGTTTTACAGCTGACAAAAAAAAATTAAATTATATGATGGAAGAAAAGCTTTTAAAACTATGTTAGGTTCACAGGACACTAAAACATGCTAACATGTTTACAGACTTCTCTCCTGCTTCAGAACTGTTTATCTCAGTAACATCCACTCATTCTTCATGTCTCAGCTAAAACAGAATTTCCTTGAAGATTTCTCCTTAACCATCCTGATTCCATAGACCCAAAAGTAAGCTATGACATCCAAGTACACATTCTCATAGGCTTTCATTTTTGTTTTATTGTTAGTGTGTCTAATTGTGAGTATGCTCCCTGAGTTGAAATTTGTTGGATCTAAGACCATGTTTACTTTCTTCACCATTATATCTTAAGAGCAAAGCATGGAGACTATCAAAGAAGAGACATTCAATATTTGTTGGTGAAGGAAGGAAGGGAGGAAGTGGGGGCAGGGAGGGAATGGATTTCTATAACTGTTCCATATACCCAAGGACCAATACAGATTGTATTCTCTCTTTTGCTCAGCTGCTGGCTCCAACTAAAAAAGGGATTTATATGGAGCTTCCTAGGACCCGTCTGTGCCATCTTCTCTGTGAGTGATATCATTAGACTATCCTTACTGCCCAGCTGAAGGTCATTAGAAGAGAAGGATTATAAAAATAGTAACAAGAGCAGAAATGTGCCTGGGTGGTCATGGGTTGGATTGGGTTTTTTTAAAAAACATAAAATAAAAAGGCCAGGCTCGCTGGCTTAGCCTAAAATCCCAGCGCTTTGGGAGGCTGAGGTGAGTGGATTGCTTGAGCCTGCAGGTTCGAGGCCAGCCTGGGACCTTGGAAAGACCTCGTCTCTACAATAAACAAAAAAAAAAAAAAAAATTAGCCAGATGTGGTAGCACGCGCCTGTAGTCCGGCTACTGGGAAGACTGAGGTGAAAAGATCGCCGGAGCCCAGCATGTCAACACTGGAGTGGCCATGATTGTGCCACTGCACTTGACTCCAACTCAAAAAAAAAAACCTCCTCAATCCTCAAATTCCAACACTGTTATTTAATGTTTTAAAACTGCTTATGTGTATAATTGATGTTGGACAGGCTAGGATCAAGAGATAACATATTCAAATTTTCATTCAATAAATCTGTGGTTTCCCGAAGGTCAATTTAGCTTTATTTCTGAAGACCCTCTGGATTTTGAAAAACAGACTCTCCTCCCTCAACAGTGACGTGTCCACCCTCCAAAACACAAGGTAAGATGGAGAAGAGGGGACAACCACCCAGACATACATGTATGGTTCCCAAGAGCAAAGCCACGCTCCTCAACAGCACCCGGTGTCCCTTCTCAGGGTTTTCTGAGGAGACCCAGAGTGAACAGATGCAGCCATCCTCCCACAGCAGCCATCTCAGACCCAGTGGTCTGCTGCTGACACCCCATGCAAAGTGTTCTGTCCATCTCTAATGCCAGTTTGTGAATCCCTCAGCAACAGGAAGAGTCAACATTGGTTGATAAACTGCATATAGATATATACATATATATATACACAATGGAATACTATTCACCGTCAAAAAAAATGAAAACATGGGAACTGGAGGTCATTATGTTAAGTGAACATGGCGGAACTGGAGGTCATTATGTTGAGTGAAATAAGCCAGGCGCAAAAAGACCAACATCACATGTTCTCACTCATATGTGAGAGCTAAAACTCATCGATCACATGGAGGCAGAGAGTAGCATGACAGAGACCAGAGGCTGGGAAGTGTGTGGGGTGGGTGGGAAGGGATATAAAGAGAGGTTGGTTAGTGGGTACAAACATATAGTTAGATAGAAGAAATAAGTTCTAATGTTTGATAGCAGAGTAGGGTGACTATAGTAACAACAATGTATTGTCTATTTCAATATAGCTAGAAGAGAAGACTTGAAATGCTCCCAACACATATAAATTGTAGATACTCGAGGTGATGGACACCTGAAATATCCTGGCTTGATTATTACACATTCTATGCATGTAAATCACATGTGTCCCATAAAGATGCACAAATATTATGCATCAATTAAAAATATAAAAGGCAAGAACAAAATATTCTTTGGGCTTTTATCAGCAGTCTTACAATAGACGTGCTAAAAATGTGTATGTTTTCCTGATTGTCTCCACAACCTATCCTCAGTTCAGGCTCCTTTTCATTCCTCATGCAATTCTCCCTCTGGAAGAATCCTAGTCAGCATCAAATCCTCTAGGGGGCTTGGGCAGGCCTTCACTCAGGCACACTTTTGCAGAATTAATGCACTTTCTTCCAGGTTTCTATCGCTATCCTTCCCAAATTCTATATACCATTCTTTGGTTGTATTAGTCATTTGAAGAGACTATGAACTTCATGGAAACAGAACTCTTTTCTATGTTATTTTTAATGCCCAGTCTGTAGCACAGTACATCCTCAGTAAGGTTGGTTGAATGAAATTTGGGATCTTCATTGGAACATGGAATTATGAGGGGTACCCACAAAAACCTGGAATTTATTTATTTAAAAAATTATGTATTTATTCTTTCATGTTTAAACTTCAGTTGCCTTCAAAGTATTCTCCATTTGATGCAATATACCTAGTGAGATACTTTTTCCACTGCTCAAATCAGTTTTTGAACTCATTGATTTTGATGCCTTTCAATGCTTCTGCCATTTTTTTGTTTGTTTGTCTTGTTTCCCCTCTTCCACATCAGCAAAACATTTCCCTTTGAGGATTTTTTTTCATCCAAAAAAACAAAAACAAAAGTCGCTGGGTGAAAGATTGGGTGAATAGGGAGGGTGGGACATGGGGGTCATGTCATTTTGGGTACGAAAATGCTGAACACTCAGCGTGGTGTAGGCAGGTGTGCTTGGAAATCACCCATCATGAAATGGTCAAAGGAGTTGAAAGAATCTCAACCAAAAAAAAAATCGCTGAAGCCAAACATAGGCTCTCACAATGCCAATGGGTTCCTAGAACACTTACTAGCAGAGGAAGCCTGTACTACAAGGGGCCTGTCCCCCAAAAGATAATTCCTGGATTCTTTGGGCTCCCCCTCATATGAAGTATCTCTGCTCTCCTCAGTCCAAGTCAAAATGCTATCCTAGACCCAAGTGTCATTTCTATTGTGGGGCATCACTGACAGGAAAGATCTAAGCCGATCACAATTCAGTCTGAGAAACTACCTTCAGGGGAGAGCAGGGTAGCCCATGGGTGGAGAAGAGAATAGCCTTGATCCTGTGGCTCCGGGTGCAACAAGCCTCCTTTCTCATCCAACCCAGGATGCTGACATTTAAAGCGACAGCTCAGCTCTTCATCCTGGGCTGCACGTGGTGTCTGGGCCTCCTGCAGGTGGGCCCGGCCGCCCGGCTCATGGCCTACCTCTTCACCATCATCAACTCCCTGCAGGGATTCTTCATCTTCCTGGTCTACTGCCTCCTCAACCAGCAGGTACCACTGCCCAGCTCCCGCCCAGGCCCTGCCCTGGCCCCGCCCATCTCTGTGAGCTGACCCAGAACATGCTCTGCCTCTGCAGGTCCGGGAGCAGTACGGGAAATGGTATAAAGGGATCAGAAAACTGAGAGCTGAGTCTGAGGCGTACACACTCTCCAGCTCGGATGCCTCCAAACCCAGCACGGAAAGATCACGCGGCGTTCCCAGAGCACTTTGCTGACTGGTCCACTGGAAGAGCACGTGCCTGTCACACTGGGCAACCAGGGAACACAGCAGGGGATGCCCTAGGATGGCTCACATGTGGCGGTCCTTGACTCATTAGCCATTAGTAACGGTCTCCGTTTAAATGTTCGTTCTTCCATGGTGTATACGAGGGGGGGATTTCAAAAAAGATGGAGTTATCTTTTGGAGGGCAGGCTCCTTGCAGTACAGGCTTCCCCACTAGGTAAGCACTGGAGGCACCCATCGGCATCAGTGTACCGGCTGGCGTTGTTGTGAGAGACTGTGTTCAACTTCAGGGAATTTTTTTTTTGGAGATGACAAAAAAATTCACCGTGTTTTTCACCATGTTTGTCCATTGTATGATTGAAGAGTGCACCTGCCCACACCGCTCTATGTGTTCAGCAGTTTTTGACCAAAAACAGCATGACCCCCACGGCCCACCCTCCCTATTCACCTACTCTCGCCCCTAGCACCTTAGTTTGTTTGTTTCTCTGAATGAAAAAGTCCTCATTTTGACAATGTGGAAGAGGTGAAATAAAAAAGCATTGAAAGGCACCAAATTGCCAAGTTCAAAAACTGTTTTGAGTAGTGGAAAAAGCATCTTGATAGGTGTATTGCATCAAATGAGGAGAGTACTTTGAAGGTGACTGAAGTTTAAACATGTAAGAATTAAATACACAATTCTGTATAAATATATTGTGGGTTTTGGGGGGTCCCCCTTGTATATACCACATTTTCTTTATCCAGTCAGTTATTGATGGGCACTTAATTTGGTTCCATGATTTTGCTATTGTGAATAGTTCTGCAATGAACACACGAGTACAGGTGTCCTTTTCATATATGAATTCATTTTTCTTTGAGTAGATCCCTAGTAGTAGACTGCTGGGTCATATGGTCATTCAATTTTTAGTTCTTTCAGTAATCGCCATACTGTTTTCCATAGAGGTCGAGCTAGTTCATGATCCTACCAACAGGGGATGAGCATTTCCTTTTCCCTGCAATTGTACCATCATCTATTATTCTTTGATGTCCTACTAACTGCCATTCTGACTGGTGAGGTGATATGGAATACTACGCAGCCATAAAAAAGAATGAAACCATGTCCTTTGCAGCAATGTGGATGGAGCTGGGGTTCAACATCATAAGTGCATTGACTCAGAAACAGAAAACCAAACACCGCATGTTCTCACTCATAGGTGGGAGCTAAATGTTCTCAAAGATGGAAAAAATAGACACTAGGGACACCAGTGAGGAGGGAAGCAGGGAAGGGGGATAGGGTCAGAAATTACCCATTGGGAACAGTGTTCACTATCTTCGGAAGAGGCCACCTAACACCCAATCCTCATCACTACACAATACGTCCATGTAACAAACATGCATGTGTACCCCCTGAATCTAAAATGAAAATGGAAAAAAGAAGTTTGTTATTAAAAATCCTTTGTTCTTACTCCCTAGGGAACTATGCTCATCTTAACTCTTACATGTGAAAACCCACTATGGTGCCATGCATGGTAAACTAAATAAGCAAGAGTTGATTATCTGAAGCAGTGATGCCCATTCTACTCAGAAATACATTATTCTGTCTTTTTCCTCTACATACAACTCTATCTCACAATCTTTCAGTACTACCACTCCAAAAAGGCTAAAGTGGGTGAAATGCTGTACATACTTATGAAACAAACAGAAGTGAGTGTTGGAGGCTGGGCACAGTGGCTCACGCCTATAATTCCAGCACTTTGGGAGGCCAAGGCGAGAATTACTTGAGCCCAGGAGTTCAAGACCAGCCTGGGCAACACAGTGACACAACATCTCTACAAAAATTCAAAACATCTTCTTGATGATTAGTGAAGTTGAACATTTCTTCATATGTCTGTTGGCTGCTCGGATGTCTTCCTTTGAGAAGTGTCTGTTCGTTTCTTTTGCCCACTTTATAATGGGGTTGTTTGTTTTTTTCTCTTTTCAGCACGTTTGAGTTCCTTGTAGATCCAAGATGTTAAGCCTTTGTCGGAACTGGAGTTGGCAAATACTTTTTCCCTGTCTGTGGGCTGTCTCCCTACTCTCTTGATGGTTTCTTTGGCTTTGCAGAAGCTTGTCAGTTTAATGAGGTCCCACTTGTCTATCTTATCTCTTATGGCCTGTGGGTTTCGGGTTTTGTTCAGGAATTGGATGCCAGTTTCAATTTCCATAAGGGTATGTCCTGCATTTTCTAAGGTTCTTATAGTTTGAGGTTTTACATTTAGGTCTCTGATCCATTTAGAGTTAATTTTTGTGTATGGTGACAGATAGGGGTCTTGTTTGAGTCTTCTGCATGTGGTCAGCCAGTTTTCCCAGCACCATTTACTGAATAGGTTCTCCTCTCCCCAGTGGTAGGTGGTGGAGGCTTTGTCGAAGATGAGTTGGTTGAGAAATTGAGGTTTAGCTTCTGGAATCTCAATTCTATTCCATTGGTCTATATGCCTGTTTTTGTACCAATACCAAGCTGTTTTGATGATTGTAGCTTTATAGTAAAGTTTAAAGTCTGGTAATGTGATACCGCCTGCTTTCTTTTTTTGCTGAGGATTGTTCTGGCTATTCTTGGTCGTTTGTGTTTCCATATGAATTCCTGTATTGTTTTTTCTAGGTCTGAGAAGAATGTTGCTGGTAATTTGATGGGTATTGCATTAAATCTGTAGATTGCCTTATTGAAGATGAACATCTTCACAATGTTGATTCTTCCAATCCATAAGCATGGGATATTTTTCCACTTGTTTATGTCATCTTTGATTTCTTTGAGCAGTGTTTTGTAGTTTTCATTGTAAAGGTCATTAAGGAGATGCAAATTAAAACCACACTGAGATACCACCTAACTCCAGTCAGAATGGCCATTATAAATAACTCAAAAATTAACAGTTGCTGGACAGGGTGTGGTGAAAAGGGAACACTCCTACACTGTTGGTGGGAGTGCAAACTAGAGCAACCTCTATGGAAAACAGTGTGGCGATTCCTAAAAGCTCTAAATATCGACCTCCCATATGACCCCACAT